TCCTGAAGAATCTCTTCTCAGACCCCATGATCGCAGAGGCAGCTTGACAGCGGCTCCCAGGCACCATTCGTGGCAGCGTTTCCTAGAGCTCTTAATCGAGGGGCCATCACACCCCGAAACGAAGCCTCCGGCGCAGCCCACTGAGGAGGCGTCCTGGCGGGGACCCGCGGATGGACTTGCCATCCTGCCCGGGCCAGGCGCCTGCAGGAGCGCGCCGAGGCGCCCAGGTGGGTCACTGGACAGAGGCAGGCAGGTCAAGACTGGGAGCACAGAGGGAGCGGGGACTGGGTCGGGATCAGCCCCAGGCAGAGTGACTCACCCAGGGCCACTCAGGGCAGGGGTGCCGCCTCTCCGGGAGGCCGCTGCACCGTGCCCCAAGAGCACGCTGCTGCCTTTAAGGATCAAAGCCAGCTGTAAGCAATGAAAGCATTGCTTATCCTGAAGAAGTACCCCCTCTCCCCCCTGTGCCGGTTTCAGGGGACGACTCCTTGTGGAGGCAGACAAAATCAGAGTGATTCTGATATTTCTCACTCTGAAAGTCAGATTTTGGTCGACTGGAACTCAGCCCCGGATGTGTGTAACCGCGGTAGCAACCGTGGTTTTTCAGTTCCAGTGCAGAAAATGTTAGCGCTCATTCCATCCAGGTAAAACGAAGGGTCAAACGGAAGCTTCAGATTTGACAAAACAATTTTCCCAACTCTTGGGGGGAAAAGAAAATCTAAAAAAAGTCCTTCAAACTCAATCTTATTGCCCTCCAATAGAAGAATTTGGGTTCTCTTGGTTTTGACATTTTCTGATAAGTCTTAGAAAAGATGTGTTGGTGCATTGGGTTAGAGATACTTAAGAAAAAGTCCTAGATATAGAATGGAAGTCAATAAAAATTAGATCTATCAAAAATGAAAACACATATTCACGCAAAAACTTGTACCCAAATGTCAACAGCATCTTTACTCACAATAGTCAAAAAGTGGATACAGCCCAAATGTCTATCACCTGATAAATGGGTAAATAAAATGTGGTGTATATACACTATAAATGCAACAAAAAGGAGTGAAGCACGGATCCACTACCGTGTGGGTAAACCACAAAAACCTCATTCTAAGTGAAAGAATCCAGACACAAAAGGCCACCTTTTTTAATTGTATGGTTCCATCTATATGAAATGTGCAGAATAGGCAAATCCATACAGACGAAAAGTGGATTGGTATTTTCCAGGAGCCAGGAGTGAGTGATGAGGGGAGAGGATTGGAGGAATGAGGAGCGACAGCTTCGTAGGTGTGTGGTTTCTTTTGGGCGGTGATGATAAGGTTTTCAAACTAGATAGTGGCGACGGTGGCACAACATTGTGAGTGAACTAAAAGCCACTGAATCATTCACAGCTTAAATCGGTTGTGGGAGGAAGCTGTTTCTGCAGGAAACCACTGGAACCAAGGGCCTCCCCCCCAGTGGAGAGAGGGGCCCTCAGGACACAGCTGCACCAGGGTGCAGCGCCCGGTGCATGGTACTGCCTCAGCACCAGGCACCTGCCACAGGGCGTGTCTTGAACCACATCAGGCCAGGGCAGCCAGGGAGGTCTTTTCCAGGAAAAGAATTCAGCCTCAGGAAGCTCCCATCCCGTCTGAAGGCCCAGATCAAGAGGAAGAGGCGGGAGGAGTGGATCAGCTCAGGGACGCTGGGGACGCCTGTGAGGTGATGAGGGACGGTGGGGACCAGCGCGCAGCGATGCGGGTCCGATGGGGACGAGTGCAATGCGGTGAGGGACGTTGGGGAGGAGTGCAATGCGGTGAGGGACGGTGGGGATCAGCGCGATGCGATGTGGGTCCGATGGGAACGAGTGCAATGCGGTGAGGGACGTTGGGGACGAGTGCGACGCAATGAGGGACGATGGGGACCAGCACGATGCGGTGAGGGACGATGGGGAAGAGTTGGATGATATGGGGGACGATGGGGACCAGTGCGATGCGATGAGGGAAGATGGGGACGGCGAGATGCAGGGAGTCTGTGAGGGAGAATGCGGAACGAGAGGCGTTGAGGCGATGGGGGACGATGGGGAGGAGCGCTGCGTGATGAGGGAAGATGGGGACGAGCGCGATGCGGTGAGGGACGATGAGAACAAGTGTGATTTGAAGAGGGACGATGGGGACGCCTCCGAAGCGATGAGGCTGTGCCTCCAGATGAGTCACGATGTGGAGAAGCGGGAGGCGGGAGTCTGTGAGGGACGATGCGGAAGGAGCGCCAGGCGGTGAGGCGATGTGGACGATGGGGACGAGTGCGATCCAACGATGGAGGATGAGGACGCCAGCGATGCGATGAGGCTGTGAGGCGAGGAGTCAAGCTGGCGAGGAGCGGGAGGCGGGGAGTCTGTGGGGGAGGATGCGAAAGGAGCGCCAGGCGGTGAGGCGATGAGGAGATGGGGAAGAGCGCGATGCGGTGAGGGACGATGGGGACAAGTGCGATGCGATACGGGACGAAGGGGACGAGTCCGATGCGACCCATGGGGACGAGTGCGATGCGGTGAGGGACGATGGAGAGGATCGCGATGCGATGGGGGACGACGATGGGTACTAGTGCGATCCTACGATGGAGGTTTGGGACGCGTGCAGTGGGATGAGGCTGTGAGGCGATGAGTCACGCTGGGGAGGAGAGGGA